GAAGGAAGGAAGGAAGGAAGGAAGGAAGGAAGGAAGGAAGGAAGGAAAAGAAAAAAGGCTAAAGTTGAGAGATTCCCAGCTTGCAGCTTCCTGGGGTGGTAGATGTGAACTTGCCTTTCTGTAGGGAGGAGTGACGCTGAGTTGGACAGGGTGCAGGGAGAAGCAAATTGTCCAGTTACTTGGCTTGGTCTCTTGCATTATGGGGCTCTTGTGTTTTTTTGGACTCCTGTGAGGTGGGCTTCTCCCTCCCAAGAGGGTTTCATTTGTTCCTGTATTTCCCAGGGGTGCACAAAGCGTGGTGCTAGCTCTTCAACCAGTCTGCTAAAGAAACTCTGACTAAAGGAAGACCACAGAAAAGAAAGGGAGGCTATAAGCCAGCCAGATGAGGAGCCAGTTGTGTGGGGCCTGACGCCTGGCAGAGACTAGATGTTGTGGGATCATCGGTGACCAGCCCTGCGTTTCTGCCTTCTCTCCTATCTTCAATACATGAGGAAGCTCCTTCCCTAATTTTGGTCCTAGTTGGAAAGCCAGTCAAAATGACTTCCAGACCCAGGTGTTCTTGGTACTAGGGGCTACATAAATGTGACTGAGGAAGGACAGTGGATCACTAGCCACCAGGGCGGTTCTCACCCCTCAGAAACAGAAAAGATGTTGTGGTCCACTTGACTGAGCCTTAATTCTTGCTGCCCAAACTCAAGCTGCAGCTCAGCTGGTGTTCAGGGCAGGACAGCATGCATACCACCTCTGCCGAGAGCTGTGCTAGGCGAGCTGTGGAGCAGGCAGGAAGGAAAGCTCATGCCTTGCAGCAGTGGGTGAAGCCTGCACTGGGCTCAGCAGGGCCCCTCTGCCAGGCAGGGCGAGCCTGGGCCTGGCCTGTGACCTGTAATGATGTTGTGATGCTTTGCAGGATCATTCGGACCAAAGTTCAGCAGCCTTTCCACCCAACACCGGATGGCGCAGGGACAGGAGTGACTGCCCCTGGCCACACCATCGGTAAGAGGGCTCAGGAAAGAGGGAAATCAACTTAGAAAACACAACTCAGCTCCGGGAATTGTCCACTCCAGGGAGATCTATGGTCCCGTGGTCCCCAATCTCTCCTTTCTCTCCTAGGGCTCTGATGTCAGCTCGGTGCCTCCCACGTCTCCTCAGTCTGTCTTCTACCCGCCTCTCCCTCTCCTTTTCCTTACTCCTGCCCCTCAACCTTTTTCTTTGGGTGTTTCTTCTGTTCCACCATCATTTATTCTATCTGATGCATTCTCCCTGTATACCTTAAGTGCCACATTGTTTCAAATCTACTTTTTTTACTTCCTCTTCTTTAAAACATCTTTTTTTGGAGGGAGAGGGGTTGGATAAATGGCTTAACAGTTAAGAGTATGTTTTGATCCTACAGAGTAACTCAGTTTGGTTTCCAGGACCCATGTCAGGCAAGACCTATAACTGCCTGTAACTCCAGTTCCAGAGGCTCTGATACTGTTCTGGCCTCCTCGGGCATGCATGTGCACATACGTGCACACATACACATGAATTTAAAAAAATAAATATTGGTGGACAGTAGTGGCGCATGCCTTTAATCCCAGCACTTGGGAGACAGAGGCAGGGGGATCTCCGAGTTCAAGGCCAGCCTGGTCTACAGAGAATTCCAGCACAGTTAGGGTTACACAGAGAAACCCTGTCTCGAAAAAAAAAATGTGGGGGAGGAGGAAGGCATGGAACCCATAACCTTATGCATGGTAGGCAAGCACTTTCCCTTGGGGTTACATACCCAGTCCTTAAAATTTTTCAAAAAAAAATTTAAAATTTTTTCTCTCTTCTCCCCATCTCTCTCTTTCTCCCAGTCTTCTTCCCTCACCTCATGTGCACGGCTATGGATCTGTCCCTCTGTCTCTCTGCATCATTTCTTCTGCCTTCTTTTTTATTGGCCTGTTTCCTCCCATCTTTTTGTCTCTGCCTCCGCTGCTCTCTGCCTGCCTCTCTGGCCCCCTTAGCTCTTCACAGGATCTCAGAGATACAACCCAGGCTGCAGAACACTTGCTGCAACTTTCCAAGGCCCCACACATAGGCACACAGACTCTGCTTTGCTTTCCTTCCCTCTTGACCAGCAGGAGACAGACAGGTCCAGCTCTGCTGGGGCTATGGGAGCCTTTGTTCAGCCAGGCCTGGGGGTGTGCTGAGCTGACGGTAGCGCAGTGAGTCACAGTCATAGGCAGACAGTCACTGACCTGTCCCCAAGAGGGAAGTAGGAGCTCCTCCAGTGATTGCAAGGCCAGAAACATCCAGGAGAGAGAGCAACACTGGGACCAGCTTTGTGCCTCCCCAAGTGTCAGAGATGGGAAACCTCAGATGCTAAATCAGGGCTGGCGAAGGCTCGGCCCAGGAGACCAAGAAGCAGTCAGCTGGGGTTTGCTTGAAAGGATTTGTTCAGCCATTGGATTAGGTGGAGGTTAGAAACATGGCCCCAGAGGGCGTCTTTTGGAACTGTGCTATCCAGAAGGTCACTGGAGTGCTTTCTAGACAGCTAATCTCGACAGTTTCTGGGCCTATACTACATCCGTTTGAGAGGAGGGGCTTGAGGGACCAGTAAATGCCATAGGTGGCCCGGGAGGCCTGGGTTGACTGGTCACCACTCACTGCAGGCTGGGCAGAAGTGCTAACAGCCTGCATTGTCTGTCTGTGGGAGTGATTCCTCCCTCAAGCCTCAGAGGAAGGAAAAGGATATGAGCTCCTTGTCCTTCTGCCCTCTGTTCCCCCCGTCCCAGCCCCGGGCTTCAGTCACAACTGTTATCCTGATGGTGTTTCTTCCTTCTTCTCATCCAGTTCCCAGCACGGCCTCCCCTCCCGTTTCCAGCGCCTCTAATGACCCAGTGGGATCCTACTCCATCAATGGGATCCTGGGGATTCCTCGCTCCAATGGTGAGAAGAGGAAACGTGATGAAGGTAAGGGGGAGGGAAGAGCTTTGGCTCCCCTTCGCATGCTTTGTCCTTGGACTCGGGGCTCCGGTTTCTGCTGGCCTCGCAGCTGCTCTGCCGCGAGATCAGTTTTAGCAGCAAAGCCTAGGTACCCCCACTGCCCTGCTGGTTCCTGAAGCGAGGGAGGGAGGCTGCTGCTGGGGCCACCAGCTTCACCATCTGCTCAGCCCCGATGGTCTCACCTTCTGCTGGGACTCACCCCAGCTGTCCCCGTGGGACGCCAGGAGGAGTGGCGTAAACTGTTTACCTTGGGAAGGTTGTAGAGGTTGGGGAGACAGCTGGCATCTGACCTGGGGATGAAAGGCCAGCCTGCTTTGGCCTCACTTGATCCCAGTTAGAGGTAGCAGATGATGTGGACGTGGACGGCCCCGGAATCCTTTCTCTGTAGCACATGGACACTGCTCCCATTGAAACCACTTGGGGAGCTGGACACAGGGCCTTGCCATACTCTTGATCATGAGAGTAGACACCATTCTGATTCCTACTTCTCCTTCTTTTTCCTGAGCCAGTACCTTGGGTAGCACAGATCCAGTTAAGAGGAGAACATGGGATGAAAGAAAACTAAGGGAGAACCTGATAGGCATAAACGTGAGACAAGGTGCTTTTCAGGTGCTTGGGACTCGTGGTGCATTGGTGGCCAGCTAGTTTTCTTCTGGTGTGTGAGGACTGGACCCCCAGATGAACACAGATGCCAATATCTCAGGCTGGCTTCCTGCTCCAGGTCTTTCATGGTCCTAGCTAGGGAAGTGGTAACTTCTGGCATTTCAGGGAATACGGGTTTCTAAAGATACTCTCTATGAAACAGAGCCTGCAAAGATGAACATAAAGGAGGAAGTGACCGTATGTTCCTTTAGCTCAAGTCGTAAGTTATGCCTGTTGTCCCTGCATCTGAACCAGGCATGTCTCCTTTCCCATCGGAGAACGTTGTGTTTGGACAGTAGGTTCTGTAGTCATCCCAAGCGTAGACAAGCTCTTCCTTAGGGGGTAAAGAACAGAGACAGGGACAAAGAGGGCATTCCTTAAGCTGCGGTCGACCCGGCACAGGGAAGACAGCAGAAGAGCCCTGGCCTCCAGGAGAAGGGACACAGTGCAGGAGAGACCCAGGCCTGGCAAGACCGTGATGACCTGGTGCTGGCCTCCTTCCAGGAGCCCTAATGGCCTCGTTTCACAGGGAAACAGCTTGTCTGGCTTGATTTCTCTTTCTTCCAAAATATCCAAACCCATTTGGCTGCCACGGCCTTTGCCACTCACTAAATTTCATTGTGGTTGTTTTGGCGGCAGCCCCTGATGGGCACAGGGAGACTACCAGAGAGGCCCTAAGCCCCAGTTCTCCCTGGGGCTTCCGACATCTAGGCTTTAGCCAAGCTCCCTGGCACCCTGAGCGCCTTGGTAGAGTCTGCCTCAAACCCTGAGGGTTTCTCTTTAGCCACCTGCCTTGTTTAGAGTGTGAGGTGTCCAGGGGGACCGGAAGGTCACCGGAACCCTTCTGTGCCCCCCTTCATTGGTCTGAGGTGGTGGCTTTGTGCGCCTTCTGCTGCCTGGGCCTTCATGGATGGCGAAGGGAGGCTGGGGCTACCCAGGCTGGGCCAGTTGGCCAGGGCAGGAACCGAGCGCTGTCCACTCCTCTTGCTCACATCCCTTGTTCCCAGTCAGTCCCATTCGGCAACCTCCATCCCCACCCCACTCAGACTGTCAGCTATGAGAATAGCTGACTTAGTACAGAAGGTCCCTGAGCCAAACAAGTTATAATTCTTGTCCTTAGGAAGCTTACATTCTAGCGTATGTGTTAAACACTGCATCCAGAGAGTAGAAAGACCATCAGATATGGTGTGGTGGAGATCTGGCCAGGCCTTTGAGAGAACTCACGGCCAGGAAGGGCTGTTCTGTGAGGGGGGCCCTGGGGATGGCTGGGAAGAGTGTTGAGGACAATGTCAGCCTGAATTCTGTCTGCTGCATCCAGTCTGTGAACAGCTATCGCAGGGTGGCTTTAGCAAGAACGAGTTGAGTGGGCAAAAGGGGAACTTGGAGAAGGAAGCCCAAGTAGACAGAGTCACAGGAAGTGACCAAAACTGAGCTATGGAAGAGGACAGGTTTTTCTCTGAAGCCAGGCGTAGCCCTAAATGTATCTGGGCAGGACTCAGGAGCAGGGTTGGTCTGGGACCTCCAGCGCAGTGCCAGTGCAGGAAGAAGTGAGGGATGGTGAGAGCTTCAGACGCTCTCCGCTAGGCCTAGCCAGGTTACAAGAAGCATCAGGGATCCCACCAATTTTTTTTTGTGGGAATTTTCTTGCCCTGTTTCTACCTCTCTCTCTTTTTTTAAAATCACCCTCAGGCCAGATGGAGCTGTCCTTTTCCTGGAAGCTGTCCCTGGGAGGGATGCCAGCTTCCCCACCACCACCATCTCGGTCTTGATCCACGGGACCCAGGTGGGAAGGGAGAAGAGGGAGAAAAAGGATGGAAAGGGAGACCTGGAAGACTCTCCCCTCCCCCCTCCCAGAGGCTTCCAAACAGCAGGGCCCTGTTTGCATTAGGGAGCAGCTCAGATGATTAAGAATGGGGAGATAATTATGTGTCAAGATGATGTAGCCCAACTCCGCAGTCGGGCCAAGGTAGCAAAGCAGCTGGCAGGCCAGTTAGTTGTTGCAGGAGGAACCTCGGGCACAGGCTGTACACACACCCAGGTGTGTCCTTCAACTCCTGGGCCAGGACTTTGGGTAAAATGGAGACTAATCTGAGGGAGTGCAAAGTATTGGGATAGATGTTCAGGGACCAGACCCCAGAGGGACTGAGGACCAGGTGCATTTTCTTATGGGAGACTCCTAAATGTATCAACTATATTGACCCTCCTTTGACCTCGGATGGAGTGCCATTTCCCTATAAGTGTCATAGCTTAAGGCAAGATGGGTGTCCCTCTGCCCTGCAGCTACTCTGGTTTCCACTTCACAACATGGCCTGTTCTTTAGTTCTAACCACGTTACGGTAGTGGGCATTAGCAAGGGCAATACCTGCAGTGTGTCCTGGCATCAGCGCAGACCTTCCTTCTCAGCAGTAGTTACTGGTATCACACAGGTAATAACCAGAATGTGACTGGCACTGGCTCTTGGAATGTGGACAGCATCACTGGTATCAGTGGCAACCATGGGGATATTCAACAAGGACCAATCAATCGGTTTTGACCCAGGGTTGAGGTGGGGAGCTGATCGAGACTGCTTCCCAAGCTCTGACCTGTAGGGATGGGCAAAAATTCAGACTTTCTTTAGAGAAATGTGGCATTCAAGAAGCTTGAACCCTCCTCCTAGGGATCCAGGACCCTAGGCAGAAAGACCAGGAGGAGAAAAAGAAAATATACATGAAGGACCTAGGACACAGGCTGTCAATGCCCTGTTGAAAGCTTCAGTTCCAGCCTATGGTCAAGTACGGTCAAGAGCTTGTGTCCCTGGGAATCTAACACACATAATTCCCCGAATATTACACACCTTGTCTCTTGTGGTTGGAAGACAGGGTTGTACCAGCCCATCTATAATCAGACTGAGGAACTCAAGCCAGGCTGGGGGTGTGGCTAAGTGGTAGAGTGCTTGCCTAACAGGCATACGGTCCTAGGTTCAATCCACAGCCTGGCAAGCAGCTGCTTTCAGCCACAGTCCAGTGCATTGCTGTCCACTGGCGGCGCTGGTGAAGCTCGGGGAAGTTTGGTAACTTGTCCAAAACTCCAAATGAAGTCATATGGTGACTGTGGGAGGGAGTTGTGTTGGTGTCAGCCTTCGATCTGTGGGCTTGCAGGAGGCCGTGATTTTGTATTGCATTAATTAGGTGTATAATGAATTGTGCAACAGGGTGGTGCCAAGCTGGTGCAGTTGTGCATTTGTAGGCAGGACAGGTTGCATGGCTGCAAAAGGCCGAGTCCCGTCACTGCGTGAATAGCTCCCTTCTGCCTGGATGACATTGACACAGGAAGAAGATTGTCTCCTTGGTTAGTGCCCTCCTAGTAGTTCCCAAGGGGCTCAGGTGACATGAGCACACGAGGGGACGGAGCTATGGGAATGATCAACACCTGTTTAGGTGTCCTAGGCTGAGGTGGAGAAAATTCCCACAAACTCCGTATCAGGAAGGAAGGAGCAGCGCTGCCTTAACTGTGACCACTGGACTGAAATCCTAGAGCCACTCAACTGTGTGACCTTGGGGAAGTCATTTCACAACCCCAGCTCCTTTGTCAAGTGGGGTAGTAACAACCATTACTTCTTTTGTTCGTTTTTTGTTTGTTTGCTTGCTTGCTTGCTTGCTTTTTGAGACAGGGTTTCTCTGTGTAGCCCTGGCTGTCCTGGAACTCACTATGTAGACCAGGCTGGCCTTGAACTCAGAAATCTGCCTGTCTCTGTCTCCCAAGTGCTGTAATTAAAGTCCTGTGCCACCATCACCTGACTCAACCCTTATTTCTTACGGAGAAGTTTCTAAAACCTGAGGTGTCTAGAGCAGTCTTCTCAACCTGTAGGTCACAACCCATTTAGGGGCCAAATGATCCTTTCATGGGGTCACCTAAGACAATCAGAAAACACAGATTTTTTTTTATGATTCATAACAGGAGCAAAACTACAGTTATGAACTAGCAATGAAGATAATCTTACGGTTGGGGAACACCACAACATGAGGAACTGCATTAAAAGGTGGCCACATTAGTAAGGTTGGGAAGTGCTGCTCTAGGGTGTTAAGACAGCTCCACCCTGGGCGATGGGTCACTGTGTACCTAGGCAAAAAATAATCTAATAGGCAGGTTCAGACTTCACAAGGAGGAAATGAAGCCGTGAGAGAAAGAACTCTATCTGGGCCTACACTCCCTAACCCCAACGGGGCTCTTTGTCACTCTGAGATAAAAATAATCTGGAAAGAAGGAGGCAGTTGGCCTCACCTGCATGGTTGAGACACCTTTGCCTACCTTTCCCTCCCAGTTTGCCGTTCTGTGGTCATCCAATG